AGTGCGACCCTAACATGCGGGATAAGAAAACGCTTCCTCTGTTGCTTGATGGACGGTTTATTTACACCGACGGCTCAAAAACGGCAAACAGGGAGGGAGCAGGGGAATCTGAGAAACAACCCAAGATGAATGTCAACATATTAGTGGGGAATGAAACCACTATGTCTTCGCTATACATGAGTGCATCCAACAAAGCATTACAACCCTTCAACGAACCTAACAACTGACGTCATATGACTGTAGACCCTATCACACAAAAGATACAGACTCTTCGGAGCAATAGATACCGGAGATAGACTACCGCCTGAAAATCTTCTCCAAGGGCTATTAGGCCTGATAGAGGGTCTTGTCTTGTAGGGCAAAAAGGAAATTGGGGTGCATAATTATCAGCCAACAGGCTGCAGTGCATGGAAGGCCACAGCGCCTAGATCCCCCGTATAAACAACCAACCAACCAACAACCAATTAAAGTTGCTGGAATGGTAGATGATGAATTGAATAGTGGAAAGTAATTTTTTATAAAAAATATAATCTTAGAAAATATGTCACTCCTCAAAAAAAAAAAAAAAATGAAATATTGCATGCACAATAATTCTATTGAAATACTAAACATTTTTACCCATGTATTTTTTTTGTTTTTCGCTCACAATTTATCTGCTAAATGGCGGGCTGCAGTTTTTAAGTAAGTTTTCAAAATTAGATATTCCCAGTGGATATTCCGCTGGACCGGGCGACGCACAAATCCGTTATTTCCGCTCTGTTCAAAAGTCGCTCATTTTTATATTTAGGAAATCCGATTAGATTGCCGATGGGAAAAAAGTCAGAAATTCAATTTTATATCATAGCAAGAACTACATGTATTTAACCTTCCATTAGTCGCGCGTGCGTATCTGAGAGATACATGCCTATTATTTCTGCAAATAAATCAAAAAGGAAAAAGCCTATAATAATATGGCTTGTAGTAGTCCTCAGGTACCCTATACTTATTACTTTCCCAAAATTAAATGGTCGTACCTCTATTTGGAAATTTGGAATTTCCAAAAAACTAGGGGCGTGCTCGGCTTTATACCTGAGTGATACAACGCGACTTTTCTTGTTACCATCGGTGCTTTTCAATTGTAACTATTTTTTTGGTATTTTTTTATATAAATTTTATGGTACAAGAGGCTGTTCATCTTAGGTGAAGATGGAACTCGATAAGACAAAATGTCTCCCAAGCTGACTCGGTGGAGACTACATAATAGTATGGTAAAGCTGCCGGGCGTTGTTGGCCAAACTACAACGACTGCGAAAACAGAATCCAACTTCTGGAATCTTTTTTTCAGTAAAAAGTGATTGTTGAGTACACAAATAAATACATAGAAATTGTAAAACCGAAATTCATCAGACGGTTCAATTTTTTTATCAATGCTTTAGTACGTGTATCTCTGTGATACAGCGCGACTAGTGAAGTTATAAAAACTCGCGCGCCTAATGGAGGGTTAAAAGTGCCCCATTCAGTATTATAGCGTGCACGACGAGGCGGTTTCTTATCCGATTCGCTATGTAATGTGTATTGAAATAAGCGGTTGCCAAAGCCTCCTTTTTGCTCGACAACAAATTGAACACAACAAAAAATTGAATCCAGCATGATATGACGGACTACACAACCCTCATAATTATTATAATTTTTATTAACCCGTTACCTCGTTAAGTTATTTTAACTTAAACGATTCAGTGGTAAGTTTAGAACAGAAATGAGTGAAGTGAGAGTCGTAGGACGGATGAAGGGCGGATTCAAGTTGAACTTTGCATTATGCTTGTGTATGCTGAAAAAGACCGTAAACAACTCCTGCATTTCTGTCATACATCTGAATAGTTTTCTGCTTCGAATAAACCACTATATACAATCTGTAGGTGATTTTTAAACCGCAAAAATTATTATCGAAAGACGATGTTTAAGTGGTGTATTCAGAAAGAGAATTGTCCCGACTGTCAGCGGTATTTTTCCAACGATTAATTTAGGGAGAAAAATTTGGGTGATGGAGCTTAAGTCAACAAATAGTGTGCAGATTATCAGATGACACTTCAGTGGAATTATGTGGAAAAAAATATTGAAAAAAAAAACGATGCCAGTAAATGTGGTATTTCTCAAAAATACTAGACTCAGAACGACTAAAGTTATGGGCTATATCAACATTTATCGATTAAAATGATGTTAATTTATGAATCTAGTTTTTTTCAAAAAAAAAAAAGGAAAAAAGTATCGACTAGCAACAAGCTGAGCTGGAATAGTATACAGGGTGTTACAAATTCGATTGTGTACATGGCGATCTCGGAAACTATGAGAGATAGTTGTTGCGCAATTTTATGCTTAACAAAATACCGTTTTGAAAATTTAAAAATTCCAAATATTTTCAGAAATATTCGGAATAAACCGAAAATTTACAAAAGCGTATTTATTTTTTTTCTGAGCATCGGCAAAGTCCTGAATTCCGAATCTCCAGTATAAGTTTTACCACATTAATCGGTTCGGATATTTTCACCGCTCGACTATACCTTCGAAAGAAAATGGATTAAGTTACGGGTTACGAGAAGGTTTTGCATACAATTTAGTGACAAAATGCCATATTGTGATCAGACATTTTTCATTAATTCTCTTGATTTAAAATTCAAACCCATATTTTTCCAAGACAGCTCGGCTACTCACCTTAATAAAAAAAGTTTTCCATTGGAAAAAAAAAAGAAATGAAAAGTGTTAAAGTGAAATTATGAGAACTACTCTGATTGATCAGTCATTGTTATATGAAAACTTTTATGAGTTATGTTTCGTCAACTCAATAGTAGTTTTAAGTTATTTGTATTAAATTGCTAAGATTGTCCTTCATTAAACTATTTTTGTTTTGTTCATTTTGCCAATTATTTATTGAAGTACATACTTTGAATTTGGAGTAGACTTTTAATCCACGATGCACCCTTCAGATTATTTTCGCGTTCTTGAATATTTGAGGTCTTTATCTACTTAACGCATTGTCCTCATATATGCGTAAAAGAACTCTACGACAATTCGACGTGACGCGTTGGAAATTAAAAACCAGTGCATTTTTGGGAATGGTAGCGATTAGAAGTGCTCCGTTCTCGACCAATTTTGACTCTCACTCAACCACACCGCAACTTACTTGCCGGCCGGCCGTCGTGGTATTCGCAAACCGTGATCGAGCAACTTCAACCGCAACTCCGCAACTCGCAGCTGTAACTGGATTAGGTAAGATCTCAGTTGTACACGTAATTTTGAAACCGCAAAATTCAGTCCACTTTTCTCGCAGCTGATGCTCAGCTGTAGACTAGATTTTGGAAGTAAATTATTAAAATATTGAAATATTGAAATTTTACTCCGCATTCCGAAACCTGGTTCAAACACGATAAGTTATAATGAAATTATTAAAATAGTAGTTAGGTTAGGAGTTTCTGTGCCAATAATTGTTGTAAGCATTCGGAGCCCAACAAACACAGTACGTACTGAAGACGTACATTTTAGGTCCTTTTTACGTCGGTTCGTCCGGGACGCAAAAGTACGTTTTAAGTACGTACGTGAAAGGCTGTATTAATATACAGACAAAAAAGTACGTACTAAGAACGTACATGAAAATCTATATTGCGTACGTCTTGTAAAAGACGTACATGTTCGTTTCAAAGACGAACAATATGAGACGAGCTGGATCATTCCATCTATTCCATGATTTTTTAATCAATTTCTGATCATAATTAATATATTTTTGAATAATATGTAATTTGCGAGCAAAACATACAAGAGTGGTAGCCTTCCAAACCCTAAACCCAAAAATGCCAGTCAGGATTGTCCATGGATTTATCCTCTATTATATAAATCTAAATTTATTACTTAAATAAATATACGAATACATAAGTAGACGCAAAGCCATCAGGGGCAATTGGGTTTGGCGCCTAGAATTGTCCATCAAAGATAAATAATGTTTTGTGGGGCAAGTCATATAATCAAGAATTTAGGTATATTTCATTTAGGTACCTGACCTAAATAAATGGTCAAATCGATCGATACAGCACCTTAAAAGGATTTTCTTCCTAAGTAAAAATATTCTATGTAAATTATTATTGCCACAGTACGACATAGCCAAAAAAGGGTCGAATCGAAGGCAGGTATGAATACGAATTTTTCCCTTTTGTTTTGTTAGGTTAAAATCAGTTTAAAATAAACATAAATAAACCAATAGATTGGAAACAAGGCACGCCGGGCAGGGTGCAGTCAAGTGCAGTGTTGCCAATGACCCGATAATAATCGAAATCTAGGTACCATAATTTTGACTAGGATTCAATAATCGATAATTTCAAACTAATCTACCAGAATTTATTGAAACTACAATTTCAATGCATATTTTTCAAATTTTTAGTTAAGAATTAAAAATTTATTTGGTTGGTGCCGTAGCACTGGCTATTTTTTTTTATCGAACTGAGATTCAGCAGGCAGCACGCCCCCAACCGTTTGTTTTTGGTTATTTTTTTTGATCAGATATAAAATACAGATTAGAGATGAAAGTCAAAAAAATTGACACAAACCTTTTCTGATAATTTTGAATTTGACATCTGGCAACACTGGCAGATTGTTTGACAGTACCGACATCGACTACCCATCGCAATCGGGCCGGGGGAACGGAGAACATCTCATTTTGATGCGACGTCTCGTTCGAGTTGTTCTTGTCTGCTTTTTTTTCTCTTGTGTTTGTGTTGTGGAATTGTATTTTCCTCCATTTTTGTTATTTTGCGAAGTCAAGTAACGCCATTTTGTTAATCAGTAATCGGTGTGTAAATACTTTTACCGATTTTCACTGTGTGAAACTTTTTTCTAGTTTGTGCCCCTTTTCCTTGGGTTAAAAGGGAACGAATTAGGTAAGTAGGTACCTACTTATTTATTATTTTCATATTATTGGTACTTGGTATATTTGTTTTTAATTAAAACTAGATACTATTTATATAGTTATGTATATAATGTCCAAATACAGTGCAACAAGTAAGCATTATAAAAAAGCCAAATTAGACTGTTTGACTTTCTATGGAGAATTTCATCATGATGAAGCTGGTGGTGATGACATTATACATTTATTGGAGTCAGGCTCAGAATCAGATTCTGATCAAAATGATTTTATTGCTGCAGAAGCCTCTACTGACAATGTAGATTTTCCAAAATTATTAACAGAACTTGAATCCGACCCTGAGCCTGAAAATCCTGCTTTATTCCAATTCCCAAGTACCTCGAATTATATTTATGGTGTTGAAGGTAATTCTGGAGTTGAGCCTAACACATCTCCATCTGAGTTACGTGATGAACTGTCTGGATGGTGTTTAAAAAACAATATTACGCATAATGCTGCTAGCGAACTTTTAAAAATATTGAAGCCTCATCATCCAGAATTACCAATGGATGCACGTTCATTACTAGTGACACCCAGAAATATATCAGTAAAAAACATTCATCCAGGTACTTATTACCATTTTGGTCTGGAAAAATGTGTTTCTAATCTTTTTTCACTCTCTAATCCAGAAGAATCTACCGATACAATTGAAATTCTTGTCAACATTGATGGACTTCCATTAGCTAAGAGTTCAGGTAGTCAATTCTATCCCATTTTGTGCAGCCTCTTTAAAAATAAAAATCAAGTGGAAATAGTGGGTGTTTATCATGGGTATGAAAAACCCAAAGACATGAATTTGTTCATTCAGGATTTTGTCAATGAAGCTATTGAGATAGTGAAGAATGGCCTAATCTATAACAACCGGTCATATTTTTTCAAAATCAAAGGATTTATCTGTGATGCTCCAGCTAAATCTGCAATTAAACAAATAAAAGGTCACTCTGGATATATGTCATGTAGCAAATGTCATGTTGAAGGAGTTTATAAAAATTCTGTTTGCTTTCCCCAAATTTCCAATTTATCTTTACGTTCAGATTTAGATTTTCGAAGCAAACAACAGGAGGAACATCATACAGGTACTTCTTTGATTGAAAAAATACCTGATGTCGATATGATTAAGTCATTTCCACTCGATTACATGCACCTTATTTGTTTAGGTGTCATGAAAAAATTGATAGTTTCATTGTGGGTGGGAGGAAAACCTCCTGTAAAACTTCAATATAGAAAAGTTACTGATTTATCAACCAACTTATTACAGCAAACACACAATGTGCCGATTGAATTTAACCGAAAGCCTCGTAGCCTTATTGAGTGTAAAAGATGGAAAGCATTTGAGTTTAGGCAATTTCTGATATACTTGGGGCCTGTGGTTTTGAAGCAAATTTTAACTGCAGATCAATATAAAAATTTTATTTCCCTCCATGTTGCAGTTATAATTTTATCTTCTTCCAAGCTTTTGAAATTTATCGATTATGCGGAAAAACTTTTAATTTATTTTGTTGAAACATTCATTATTTTATATGGGGAAGAAAATGCTTCACATAATGTCCATAATTTGTTGCACATAGTTGATGATGTTAGAATCTTTGGACCCCTTGATAATTTTAGCGCCTTTCCATTTGAAAATCATATGCAAACATTAAAAAAATTTGTCAGGAAACAGAACCAGCCTTTGCAACAGTTGGTTCATAGGAAAAGGGAATTAGATAACCTAGTTAATATAAATAGTAATAAACGAGGCAACAATAAACTCAAATGCTTTCCATGTGGAGGTAAACTTCATAGTGCTGGTCCAATTCCTGATGATCTACAGGTAGTAACACAATTTGAGGAGGTTAAATTTGAAAATTTTGTTTTAAAATGTAAAGCGCCTAATAATTATTGTTCTTTGATAAGTGGCAAAATTATTCATGTCAGAAATTTCATTGAAGTTGATAACAAAATTGTGATAGTAGGAAATAGTTTTGCAAAACAAGAAAACTTTTATGAAGCCCCTTGTGAATCTTCAATAATAAATATCTTCGAAATTTCTAATAGAAACCCCAAATTAGAAATGTGGAGTATAGAGGAAATACAGTTTAAGTGTGTGAAACTTGATTATCAAGATAAATTTGTAGTCTTCCCTCTTGTTCACACAGTTTGATTTTCAATAGTTTAATCATTCAAGTTATGAATTAAGTAGGTGATCAATTTATTTATTTATTTTTTTTTTTTTTAATTTAAGTTAGTATCAATTTTGTGAATTATTATTTTTTTCTAGATAATAAAAAAATAAATTACATCAGACCTATGTAAATTATTTTCTTTGGAATACGTATTCTCTTATTGCCTTTTAATCTGGCATCTTTTGATATCTTTTTTATATTTTATTATTTTTTGGCTTATGTTATGTGATTATACCTAAATGTTGTGACTAAATGAGTGTGTATTTTGAAAAGATAATTTTGACTTCTGATTGTTTTTTATTATTTTTTTAAATATTATATTTATAATGATAGTTTTGTAGCTTGACATTTCTATTGATAGTAACGCTAAATGCTTTAATTGCATTATTAAAATTTTGCACTTGATTACCAATTTGTGCTTTTAATTTTTTCGTGGGAAATTTAAAAAAAAATTGTTGAACATTTCAGAATAAACACTCATAATATCACTAGGCCAAACCATTCTCCAAATTGTTTTTTTTTTTTATAAAGATATTCAATTTCACTGGTTTTATATACCTAATTGAACATTTTATTTCTGTAAAATTGTACAAGTGAAGAAATTTCATATTTCAAAATAGAGCAAAAATGACAACATGGACAATTGTCAAATTTGCGGAAGACAACTCAGTGGCCGCAGTCCCTACGAAATGGGTCAACAATGAGGAGTGTGCCTGGCCGCCATTTCCTCCTCACAATATCAACGCAGCCATTAAGAACCAAGCGACCCCAGATACACATTGGCCTACGTATAAAGTGCATATCTTTAGGAATGCTACCTACGGTATAATAACTATATTATTTTACATACCTTCTTCTTTTCTGTAATGGCTTTCTAGTGTTTTTTGTTTTTTTGTTTTTTTTTTCTTAGTAGTTTTCTATTGTGGGAGGTCAATTTAAATAAGATAGTTTTTTAACGATTTATTTAACTTATATTTAGAATCATATGCAAAGGCTCGCCGCAAAGCCAAATTGGCTGAGGACACGAGTGACTTAGGAACGACGACTGAAAACGAGGAAGAGTCCCAAAAAAAAAAAGGAAGATATTTAAAAAAAAACAAAGCAGCTCGGATAGCAACGGTACTGATGACGATGCCGGTCCAAGTCAGCTGCCACCACATCCAACTATATGTAAGTAATTTGAGCCTGTATTATTATATAATATCAATATTTTTATCTTATTTTAGACCCTCTGACCAAATTAAATTCAGCTGCAAATTTGCGAAAAGATGGTAATTTTTTTTAAAAATCCAAAAAAGTTAATTATTATCATAGCAATTTTTATTTCTTAGAATTTTCCTCCGACAGCGACGTACCTTTGGCAATAAGTGCTAAAAAAAGAAGGCTCTCACTAGTGCCAGCGGATGTTATTGAGGAGGAGGAAATTGAGAGTAGAGAGACTACCACATCCTCTCATCCTGCAACGCCAATAGTAACTCCATCAGTGACGCCTTCAGTGACTCCTTCAGCAACTCCGACAATAACTTCATCTTCTCGTCGCCTGACGATTCCATCACAGTCCACGAAAAAGACATCCTCTCAGCCTGGAACTCCGTCAATAACTCCCTCGATAACTCCCTCAATAACTCCTTCTCAGACTCCCTTGGCAACGCCGACAGTGACTCCATCTTCACGTCGCCTAATTGGTGAGATATTCTAATTATTTGAAAAACTTTTGTCATCTAAATGAAGTTTTAAAAATATAATCTTGAAAATTTGAAATCTTTTTTCCCAGAAATTGCAACTCCTGGCAGCTCGAAAGAAAAACCCTGCACCTGCTGCCCTAGACACGGTGAGTGATTTTACATAGCCACACATAAATAAGGATAGTTTAAAATATGTATTGAACTTTTTTTTTCAATTTAGCTAGTGAACATAGAGATATACTGCGACATCTGTTTTTCCTGAGGAGTGTCACAGCCGATATATTGAAGGCAACTACGGAAAATTTCAAAACCACTAAACCACTGCCAGATTCATCGGTATTTCAAAAATTCAAATGTCCTTTGAGCACAGAAGAAGACCTTGGTACTTTTAATAATTATTTGCAAGATGAAAAAAATTTCAATGAAGCGGTGAGCAAAAAATATTGTTTAATTTTTAAATAACAATAATATAGTTATGTTGTTGTTTCTGTTTCATCAGTTAACATATTTACTTACCTTAATAGAAATTATTCTTTATTATTTCAATGCAAATTATTATAGATAATATATAATTAAAATAATTAAATACATAAGAATTCAATTTTAGGTCGACGAAATTGCCAAATTTGGAGGAAAAAATTCATACGAATTTGTTAAGCGAGCCCTTACTGCTCTTATCACGAACAATTTGGCAACAAATTATAGCTGGCTGGGACGCCGGGATAAAACGTCTTTTTACAATACCGAGATTGCGAAGCTGGTCATAAGTGAGTATTCATACAATCAACAAACTCATTAAAAAAACAAATTTTCTGATTTGTGGGTTCGATTTCTTACCAAATATTTATAGAAACTTAGTTAACTCTGCTTCAAATGTTTTAAATATTGTTTTTCTGTAACCAAAATTTCTATTCTCTTGATTTGAAACTTCGATGTGGTCAAATTCATACCTAACTGTTCGAAACTTAATCTCATGTGTAGTGACGATAAACTTTGAATGAAGTAACCCAAGCTAACTCAAACATCCTGTGTATATTTACCCATTAATATCAACAAAACTTGGTAGGCTTGATATTCTAACAAAATGCTATTTTTATGCATCCACAAGTTTTCCTGACTATCGGTTTTACCAGAAATTATTAAAACTTTTGATTTTTAAATGACACACCCTATATATTTTTTGTTTTTCAGATTCTACAGATCGTTTTACGTTCTTGATGTGTCACTTTTAAATCGAATTTGGTCCAAATTTCATTTTCGAATTAAATTTTGAATAGAAAAAAAATATATACCTGCATAATAAATCAAAAATGTTTGAACAAAAATTAAGAAAAATATCGTAGTGTATTATATATTGTTTGATTCGCTTTGAAATACTGCATTTAGTATAAATATTATGAAAGTGATAAGTTTCCATTCCAGTTTTTGAGCTAGGGCAAAAATACTGAAATAATGAAGTCCTTGAAAGCCCTCTGTCAAAAAAGTTTACAACAATGAAATTGAATTTGTATTTTTCTGAAATTGAGTAAAGTATGTGTAGAGTCAGTCCAGGATGATCATAGAGTACTCTAGTTAAAAAATTAAAATTTCATTTAAAAACAAAATTTGGGAAAAACTCTATTTAAAAGTGGTGCATTGGGACGTAAAACTATCTGAAAAATGAAAAATATACAGGGTGTGCCGTTTAAAAATCAAAAGTTCCTGTCATTTCCGGTGAAATCGGGAGTCAGGTAAACTTATCATAGATCATAAAAATGGCTTTGGGTTAGAATATCAACCTTACTAAGTTTCGTTGATATCCATCAACAAATAAAAAACAAATACAGTACAGATATAACTTCAAAAGATAGAAGACACAATTCAACAATAATGTAATAAGTAGTAATAAATTGAACAATAATAAGTGAAGTTCATCAACATCTTGAATAAACAAAGCTTTTTTTTTTCTAGAAGCTTGCGAAACACTGACCAATGTGACCCAAAAGGAGACAGAAGTTGCCATTCAAGGTTGGCTGAAAAGAGCGCCTGAACGAGCCAAAAAGGACCAGTAATGTTTGAATACCTATTTCTGTACATATTTTAGTTCGTAATTTTTTCTTTCACTTTAATTTTTTTTTTGTTTCGTACAGTTGCGATAAAAAAAAAAAGTAGTACAAGAATAAACTCCAAAATCTTTTGGTTTAATTCATAACCAAAGGTGCCATAATTTAGGCATTGTTCGACAAGTTTTTATCCTAGAAAGCTTCCGATGACATTCCTTTGGCATTTTTCAACCTAGTTTATTTTTTCCCAAGATAGATTTTGGCATTGTCAACTTTCAAACATAAACAATGCCGCTTATTGGTCGCTCTTGTAAAACTGATGTCAATATGCAGAAACACCTCATTTTGCGACCAATCAGGGTCAAGCGTGATTGTTTATGTTTCAAAGTTTGCAATGTCAAAATCTATCTTGGGAAAAAATTAAGTGTAGAATATGTCTTTCCTAAACTCAACATATTTTGAAATGTTTATATACTGTCAACATTTTGTATATTACACCGGAAGCTCAAATTGGGATTATTCATTTTTGTACTACTTTTTTTTATCGCATTAGTACTGTTGTTTAAGTTTAAGGGTGGTGGGTTTGTTATATTTAGTTTTATAGTATTTTTGTAATATTATTAACATGTTTCCATGTAATTTAAGTTTAAGGGTGATGGGTATGTTATTTTTGTTCTTATTTTAATTTTTGACAGTTTTTTAGTGTTAAGGTATTTATCAAGTATAAAAATTGTCACTTCAAAATACAATATATATGGTTTTATTTTTACTATAAACTTTACACATGAATATGTATGTATAGGATTTTCCCCCTATGTTTTTGCACCCCATCTGAACAGGTAATTGAAAAGATATCAAAAAGGTGTAAATACAATATTTGTATTTACATTTTTTCATACCTATATTCAATCGACCAGTTCTGATGGGGTTCAAAAATATATGGGAAAACCCTGTACGTCCCAAACACATTCCTGAAAAGCGTTAATGTACGTCCCAGAAACGTACGTTTATGTACGTCCTAAACACATACATTCATGTACGTCTCTCGTACGTACGTTTATGTACGTCCCAAATACGTAAGTTTATGTACGTCCCAAACACGTACGTACTGAGTACGTCCCTAAATGTACGTACGAGGGACATACTATTTTGTGGAAAACGACTGTCCTAAAGACGTCCCTCGGACGTCGGCGGGACCTTAAAAGTACGTCCGCGGACGTACTTTCGTCCGAAAAAGTACGTACTATGTAC